ATATTGATAGCTTTTTTCATTGCATTTGTGCTACTTATCTTCTCCAGAATCATGAATACATTCTCAGAGAAGGAGTCTTAAGAATGGTTAATAAAAGATAAAAACAGGTGAGAGAATGAGACTAAGAGTATAAACATGATGAAAACGCTGTATCCGAATATTCCTGCAAATGAACGAAAGCTTTTGAGGCACCCAAGTTAAGTTAAATAATTTAAATTTCTCACCATTTTCACATTGATATCCCTGATACCCGGGTTTACACCAGGAACACACTCCAGTCTCTATGTGACAATAACGACAGTTGTTAGGACAGCGGAGAGAGCAGTTAGGCCCGTATAATCCAGCCCTACAACCTTCAGATAACATGAGTAATGACAATGCTAGTGATACAACACAAATTAGGAAGTTGGAATAAAATGATGGGCAACATATCGATGGAAACAGAACGACTTCATACCGTAGACTTCTACCTCACAAAGTTCATTAAATGCGTAGGCAGAATAATCATCCGGGTATTTTTTATTTGCCAGTCTCTCATTGTAGTAGATAACGTATTGTCCGTGTACAGGGCACGTGATATGAGCAATGGCTGGTATAGTAGATATGGTATAGTTAGTATCGTGGAAACATAGGTAACCATCAAGTAGGTCTGTGGTGTTTGATACATAAACATAGAATCCGAGAAATCGTGGTGGTAAACCGCCAGATTCGTCTGAAATTGAGAACACCTACATATAATGCAAAGGATGATGTGACATAACTTCTATAAGGGGTTCCTTTTTCCACGACGAATTATATTTAATCTAGAAGGATTTTGATATTTTTCAAACATGAGTGAATTATTACGATACCTACGATGAATAGTTACAATAGTTCCAACATATTTTATTTATCAGGAATTTTGCTTAATATTAATGGTTTCTTAGACCCTATCACGGCAAAATTCGGCGTGGGTTGTGACAATGTTTCCGTTAATGAAAGAAAATGGGCGAATCTTAGTACAGTAGAGGATATGAATGTCCGAGAGTGCCATTGTTATTATTTCACACATAGTCGCTTACCGAAAACAATTGTCCAATACGATGGCAGAACGACAATACATGCTGGTTTACAACACGTTTACATTTTATCACATACATGTGGTTTACATACATTAATTCAAACCTTTACTTGTCAGGCATTGAAGGCTGTTTATACTTAATAATACGCACGTATTCTCAGCGTTTACGGTTATGGGTCAGGAAATGCATATGAAACATGTATTCACTGATACTCTGAATACGTGTAGACCTTCGGCTAGCAAATTACCCACTAAAAACTTTACAAAACTTAAAACTGTGTTTATTTTCAATCAATTGTTTGTAACTGCGATCTCGGAAATCGTACATATGTAGATCCGTGTTTAATCTGTGGCTCAAATGCACGAGAAATATCAGAAACCAAGTAAAATAAGCCTTTTCTCCACGCATGAAATTTCCGTAATATTTTTGTGGTACTCAATTGTGACGTTAACGTATCTCACTCACTTATCTTCGATTGATCAATTAGAAAGTATCTCCAATACCTTGATTAGCATACAAATTTATTCTTACGTCAAAAATTTTAGTTCCGTCGATCTGTTCATAACGGAAAAGCATATGAGCGCAGTAAGTTACAATTTTCTTCTTTCACATGTAGGTAGATTCTATAAAACACAATGAACAAGCAAAATAGAAAATTGTACCTACCTTCGCTCTTATATTTTTAGGGCTTCAAAGAGTGTGGCGCTGTAAAATTCTATTGAAAACTGGATGTAAGCAAAATACCCCCATCCACATCAAAAGATCTATATCTTTAAACCATTTTTTTTCTTTTTATAATGAAAAAATAGTATTCTAATAAGGTACACGTATCAGTGATAAGCTATATACAAAAATTTAAGTAAAATTTGGACAATTAACCTGGAGCCGTAAATCATTTAGTCATTTATTAATTATCATCTGAAATCAATAAAAAAAATAAACTGTTTATTTCTTCTAAGTCACAAGATGGTTAATTTTGAGTTTAGCAAAACCACGTTAGTTTGACCAAAAGATAAAATTCATACTGAACACAATTTTGTTGTTTATGTTACAAAATATGAAAAACAAAAGAACGGTTTTTCTTGCCTAAAATGCATAAAATGAAGTCGAGTAACATTGGTAAATATTTCAAATGTCATGGAACGAGATGAACACGGTTAATTTTAAACTTACAATTAATACTACTGATTTTCTTCCTTCATTAACTTGCAATTGCTTGTCATTAATTAAACTCGTGTTAGAAATTGCTCATACGTAGAGGTTGCTTTTACGTATCGTTTTGAATCAACTTAAGCGTCTCCATATGAGTGAGAAATTCTCGAGAGGGACGTTAAACAACATACAATCAATCAATCAATGAATCAACTTAAAGATTAAAATCCGTATGTAGGTGATGAAGGTGTCACGTGGTCAAGCTGGCTATCTCCAAAAATCACACAAGTTCAACTAAGTTTAATAAATTTATTTACAAAAAAAATAATAATAACAAACACCTCACACCATCTACCGCACTCTGATCCACACCTCTTACTCACTATTAAACAGTTAACTAAAAAAACACAATTCAATTCAATTGGTAACCAATTATCCAATTAACAATCAACCACACTTCTTCCCCGGGTATATATCTCAGTTATCAATCAATCAATGTCTCAATTATTGCCAAACATTTCCCAGTGTAGTAATCGTCTCTGTACCATCGATCATCAACGTCTTCATCATCAGCGTATACATAAAACCGTCTCAGGTTTGCCATTAGCTGACTAGTGTTCATCTAACGAACTATCACAACGTTACGTGGTTTGACTTATCTGTGTGTGTCCACCATCAGCGAGTCTTGATCACACACACAGCATCCTTTCGGGCTTTAGTCCTGGAACCTTCCGCTGTGTCACCACGATCAGACGATCCCCTCAGCTTAGTGCATGTACCCAATATCCAGTACCAATATCGTCGACGCTACAATGATGCATATTAATAAGTCACATGTTTCACTACATATGTTTGGCAATACCACTATTTTTGGCAATTCATTCTCAATATAATAATAATCAAAAAAGTACTAAGTATAATGGTTACCGGTTAACATAAGTCAAAACAATTTAATGCCAATATGGCGCACCTTACTTTCAACTTCCGGTCATTCACTTCCGCCCAGACATTTAAACCAAAAATTTAAATGGACAAAATATTCTACACAAAGTAACAAAACTGAGTACAAGAAAATAGCGAACATTTAACAATGAGAACTTTAAACGTTATCGATATAATACAACAGCCACTCGAACATTCTCGCTAACCGTCACACCTGAGTGAACAACAGGTAAAATGGTGAGAGATAGCCAAGTTCAGAAATAAGAACGAAGTTGTACTCAATAATAAATTTGCCTTTAAAATAAAAACTATATACAAAGCAAATCATATCATAATATATACTTACCACGGACCTGTCTCCGTGCCAGTGTCAATATATTGCATGTACTGCTGCTATGTACATATACTAGCTGCTTCAAATCAGAAAACGTGTCTGCAGCTACGCTTCTCTGCCGGGAATGACCAGGCTTCAATTGTTCTGGTCGACTAAGCTATTTTGCAAGGACTTATGGGTAAAATAAGCATACGGACAAAACGCGGGAAATACAAATTATATTACAAGTGCAATAGTGATTGTTACAGAAGGTATATTGTTGCATAAGTAAGTAAAGTTGACGACTGAAACGTTCAATTCATCCCGTTTATCATAGAGCTTGGTTGTCAGACTACAATTAACTATAAAACTTATATTCAGATATGAAATATAAACGTCAGACTCTGTGTATCTTATATTTCAAGCTCACGGGAATATATCGTATCGACAAAAGAATGATATATCCATTTTTAATTGATAATACCTCGGGTATATTTGCTTACAATAGCAATTCAAAAAAAGTATTACGAAACACAAATATTGTGAATTATTTGCAATATTGATAATCGTATTGAATGGACTTTTTTTCTTATTTATTTTATCAACTGAAAATATTCTGTTTTCAATTCCAAGTGGCATTTTTGATAAACATACGTATAACCTTTGGCATTCTTTACCCTGGGTATTTTTCATTACATGGACGACCAGTGGGCAAATAAGCAATAAATAAACATCCTTTTTCTTCATAAACATTTCTTGAAGGAAGCTAATACAGGTTTTAAATGCGTTTATAACGAACTTACTCCACGGTGCATTTTCTGTCCTATAATAAATCCGGATGTGGTGAATGCTGTAGATTGATGTCAGATTTACCCACCAGGTGGCGGTTCTTTTATAGTTAGCTGATACAACACACTCTCCTCCCCATGCACCGAGCTTGGACTTAAGTCCATCTACTGCATTACTGGAGTCAAATCTGTCGTCATTCACAATATAAGGAGACGCCTGCCATGTTTGTTTTTTTAATGCCACATTATCTAAAAATGACCAAAATGTGTAAGATAGTAAAGTGTATTCTTTAACACACAAACTACAATTAAAAAAAATTATTTGGTGACCATGTATTCTTTCTCTATAACAAACATTTCACGAGACAGTTGACAAAATTCCAACTGAATATTCAAAATACTATATAAATTGAAACAAAATTTGTAATCTATAGAGCATCTGGAGCATACTTTATAAGATTAAAATATGATATTTTTTCTGATAAGAGAGATAACTTGCCAAAACAATTTATTCAAGCAATTCAAGAAAGTGTCTGACAGATCTGAACTACGTAAAAATATTTATTCATTTTTCTTATTTTCTATTGTCAATATTTAAATTAATTACCTACACATGAAATGGTATAAATGAAACATTTATACTCGTTGTCATTGTATTGTTTGAATAGAAATGTGTCTATTTTCTAGCGTACAATTCTTGTAATTTTTGAACAAATATTTGTATAAATAAATTCACGTGATGTCAGCAAATGATGACCAGTAAATAAATTAGTTATAAACTCATCGGAGGCTTCCGATGTGACGCCTTCTCGCAAAATTGACACAGTTTGTACACAGTTCTCAAATAAAATATAATTTGCAGTTAAATAAAAGGCCGTTAACTTGGATGCGATGATTAGTTTACTAAATATTTACAAACTGCCCGTTTATTCTCCAGACAAGCGAAACTGCCGTGTGTTTGTATGCAGATTTATTGAAAAAGTAATAGAGGGCCCTAATAAACCGATTAATTTTAAGGGTATACCCTCAATGTATCTTGCTACGTTTTTACACATAAAATCAAGAAGCATTAAGATATTTGAAAAGTGTTGCGAACCTCATGAAATCTTGCAATTAGATTAATTATAGGTATATTTAATGTATTTGACTAACAAAATACAACCTACAAAAATACAATCCAACAAATTAGATTTTAGCATATAAATAAGGGAATCTATATGGGCCTGCAGCAATTTTACAAACTACAAATAGTGTTGAAAAGGATTATAAATTAAACTGACTTTTAACTTGGTTTTGCCCTTGCAATATTGGAATTTAAAGATGACCTCTAAACTGCAAGCATAATTGCTAAAATCATGTGACTTCGAAATCTCGCGACAAATCTAAATTTAAAATATAAATGTCCTCAGCATGTAGAATTGACCACATTACATTTTTTTTATCGGTGAAGTCCTAAAAAGAATTGCCCATCCTTATAAAGTATGTATTTTGTATCTTAAAAAATCGCCGATGTTTCCATTTGTAACCTTAACTGTACTGCGGACTCATATTCAAAAAGGAAACTAAAAATTAAATTGTATGATATATGAGATGGCTCAAAGTTTTCCACCGTCATTTTTTTCTTCTTTATGTACTAATATATCATTACCTTTAATTTATATTATTTGTTCACCTCCTATTTAATACGATATACTCAAGAGAATAATCCGAGTACGATCATTTTTTTACCAAAGCAGCAGGCTGCTGATAGATAAGTTAATATAAACAAACTCATTAAAAATTTGCATTGCGGAAATTCTTATGGTTGTCTTAATAACATTGTTAGCATATGTAATCTATCATTGGATTTTTTTGGCTGATTTGCATCATACCGATTATATGTACATGTATACAACATATATTCTAAGCTTTTCTTTTTACAATGAATTTGACAACGGAATGTTCCGACTACCTGGTCAATACATAGGAGTAGAGGCGTTTGTGACCGCACAATGGAATTTTTTGGTAATTTTTGATATTATAATTTACGAATTCTAAAACTGGTTTGTTATAACCACATTTAGAAGTAAAGAAAAGAAACCGAACTAAAACGTCCATTATAACAGTTATAAAAAAATAAAGGAAACGTTAGAAATGGAATCAGGTGATATTGAGAAGTGAGCAGCCAATGTATTTCACTCACACAAGCTTGTAAACCTTGTCATGATGGGGGAAAATGAAAAAAAAAAGCATACACAATCCAGTATATTGTTTAAATTATAGCCTAAAAATTAATATGATAAAATATTGCCATTCGAATTTAGATTTTCAGCATGCGAAAAATCACAGTAAACATTTACATGTGACTGCAGTCATTTCTAAAGTGTGTAGTTTCCTGAAAGCGGAGGATAAAGGAAGGTGAATGAGTAAGGCGTATACTATCTCAGCCATTATGAAGCAGTCAAACATGAACGACTTCCGTGATTGAAATTTTGAAAAAAAAAAGCCTTGTATGAATTTGAATGACTACTGCTTTGTACTTAAACTTTGTTTATCAACGACGGACACTAAGTTAACTCCAAATGTTTTCATTTTGTTAACAATTGAAGATTTTATTAAACATTTAAGTTTTTAACGTGAATACAGTGGCGGGTTTAGAGAGGACCTGGGTTCTCCTATTGTGTTCAAAATATACATGTGATTTAATAGATTAGTTCTAGGGTGTGGGTGTGGTCCCTTAGCCCGACCTCTAACTGCCCCTCCCTTTCTAGATTTCTGGATCCGCCACTGGAACGAAACAAATTTTATGTGTAAATCATGCCTTGCATTATCAGTTTGAATACACATCACACATATTTCAAGCTGCTTAAATTCAATAAACATGTATAATTTCTTTTCGAGAGAAAATGAAACGTTTTAAAATAATGGAAAACTTCAACTTACCATAACCATATGCAAAACCAATTATCAATGCTAAATAATATATTGCCATTGAAAACAAACCAACAATCTATCACATCGATGACTAGTTACAATGTACATGTACGTGACCAATATTATATTTAAGTATAAAGTAAATCTTCAAGGAAGTTTAACTACGTCATTTGACCTTAAAGATCATTAACCATTACAAAGTGGAAAATAAACATTTTTACTTTTTTAAAAAATGATATATTTACTAAAGAAATCCATCAATTGTAAGCGAAGGTAATAATAATAAATTATTCAAGAGGAAAGAAAAAAGGTTAATCACCATCAAAGAACACTTCCTTATTAGCCAAATACCTGAAAAGGTTAATAGGAGGTAAATTGTATTCATATTTCAGGACAATATGATATCAACAGAAAAAAATTAAACACTTCATGAAATGTACATAGAGTAACAAAAAGTTACAAGCCGTTTAAAAAGGTGTCACTCTTTTGCGTCTATAAGGGACACATATCTGGAGAGTACATTCGGTGTCCCTAGATTATCCCCAGGGATTTTAAATGCACGCCATATGTGTAATCTTCGGATTCTTAGTTTTTTGTTATAAAACCAATATTGCATACCAAACAAATTGAAAGAATGTAAAGTTTCTATTAGAGATCTCGATGATTCCCTCACTGGTCCTATGTGTAAGATTTCAAAATACGCGTATTCTGTAAGAACCGTGCGTAGATCGTGGAATATTTTTATTACTTCTCAGTAAATCTTCCTTAGCTATAGCTGTTAATCTTAATGAACAGAGCTTCTATATCCAATATCAAGTTTGTGGAAATTTGAATTGTAAATCTTCCAATGTTGTCCGCGGGAAGGAATTCACCTTTTGTAAGCACTTGTATTCCGTTGAAACCAAATATTCACTGAAATAAAGGTTAGCAAATAATATATTTCAAATGAACAGTGGGGACTAGCAGCTTCTACATGTATTAATGAATTTTATATTTATAATATAGGCATCGAAAATAGAGGGTTTACCTTTTTTGGTGGTAACCCACCCACCCACCCCCTTTCAATTAACGATATAAGATTTTTTCGGTACACCGGTATATGCGACATTTTGTTATCTTTATACGGACAGCTAAATACAGATATTTTCACATTATAAAGTCCAGAAATTATTCATTTATTTATTCAACT